CAAGCTACTTTCCATGATTATATTATCTTGGAAAAGTAGCCGAATGTAATCCAAAAGTTATTTGGCTTTTTTGCTTTTTAATGTTAATATCTTTTTAATAAGTATATTTTACATAAAAATTGTATTTTGTTGTAATATATAAATTTTGCATTTAACAATTCTTATTTTATTTCTAAAAATTAAAATGTGTATTTTTTAAATTTATTTATCACGGTAACCTAATTTTGTATGACCTTGCCAACTTTTGCTAGTAATTTTTGTTTCTTCTATTTTGAATTAAAACAATGTAAAAACTTTGCTTTTATATTTATGAACCTTATAAAAATGATTATTAAAAATTTTACTATTTTATACGGATATACATTATTTTATAGTAGGCCAGTGAAATGAATATTGATAAATATAATAATTTGTAGCCTATTGATAAATGGATTGTATACAGTTAATTGGCTAAAATATTTCTACAGTAAGAATAAGAATTAAAATAATAACTGGTAAAATAAACTTTCCATATTTTTGTAACATTTAAATGTTAGTAGACTTTTTGATGTCTTAGGAGGATACCAATTAGAACAATTTCAAGAAGGAAAGTATTTATTAAACTTAATGATTGAAAGCATAAATGCATTTGAAGATCAAGTTACCATCCCTGGTATATAAATATAAGCTCTTTTACTCTTATATCATCATATAATAACTTAAAATTAAGCTATAGATTTAAAAAATTTCTAGCACAAATTAGACTTAAAAAACACTTAACTTTGACAATAAATTTTTAAATATGTTGCTCAGATGTCATATTTGAATTAAAAAAGAATCTGTGTTGCATTTGTGAATTGACAAGTTCCTTGTGTTGTGAAGATTAACTTTGTAAAATACTTTTTCCTAATCATATGGATTATCATTATTGATTGAACACTGCTATTAATACTATTTATAAGCTGCACAACTTTTTCATGATATAAGCAATTGTAAAGAATATAATATAACAAGGAATAAGGTAATGACTAAAACATAAGGTTGCTAAAAGCAAATTAATTTAAATTATAATGTTTATTAGTAAAATTAAAAATTATGTTACAAATAAAATTGCAAGATTCTATTTTATATCAGATTAATATGGAGAACAGTATCTCCCATAATACAATAAAGGTATATAAAATAAAACATAAATATTTTTTAATAGCTGGTAGTTTCCATGTTTTCAATTCTCAATATTTTGTAACCGTTACATTTATTTTTCCATTTTCTTTTAAGTTTATGACTGAATTATTTTATAGCTTTGTTGTTTTGTTAATAAATAAATTTATATATTTTATTCTTTATATGGAATTCTTAATTTTTATTTAATATATTTACACAAAATTTATATTTTATAAGTTGTAAGAGGCCATGCTTATAATAGTGATTATATGCATAAAATTAATAAACAATTAAATGTTAAATAATAGTACAGTGTAATACAACATAAAGTTCTGAAAAAATAATTCAAACTTCCCATTTGACAATACCGTATTACTCGCATATAAGATGATCTTGCATATAGGATGAGATATGATTTTAAAGATACATTTTGTACACGTTTGTACTTAGTGATTAAGCTGCTAGAAACAAAGTGTGAAAGGTTTTGTCTTACTTACTTAAAAAAAAAAAAAAGAAAAGAAAATTAGATTTATTAATACAATTCTAATTTTATTTCATTTAATCACAAATAAAATATTAACACTCCGTCGAATCCACACTTNTGCTAGAAACAAAGTGTGAAAGGTTTTGTCTTACTTACTTAAAAAAAAAAAAAGAAAAGAAAATTAGATTTATTAATACAATTCTAATTTTATTTCATTTAATCACAAATAAAATATTAACACTCCGTCGAATCCACACTTATGAGTTTCTCTGAATTCTGATTTCTGAATAATCATCTGTTTACATGTCACGTGGGAATGGATTAAAACTTATATCTCATGTGTTTTTGGAATTTCAATTCAGAATTCAATTCAAAAGCTTTGTTTTTCCTATTGCTATTAATCTTTACTCCTGACAATACACAAGAATGATTCAAATGATCCAGATAAAATAGTTGTTTTAAACACCAGAGGGTGAGCATCTGGTAAAAAATGCAAATACATGGTTTACAAAAATTATTGCAAAAATGCAAAGAATCTTTTGCTCGCACATATAGGCCAACCTAGGTTTTTGAAGCAGTGAAAAATGAATAAAAACCTTGTCTTATATGTGAGAAAATACAGTAATTAAATTTGAAATGTATTTTATAATATCAGTGATTCTGTCAAAATGTATAATTGGAATATGAATATTTTTTTCTTAAATGTATATAAACTTTAGCATTCATTATATAATATTGATTCATTTCTTTAAGATTTTTTTAAAATTTTATTTTATTGTTCAAAAGTTTTAATATTAATATTTTTATATTGAAATATTTTCAATGAATCCAAATTCAAATTTTATTAGTAAATTTACCAATGGTCAGTTTACAAGCAGTTAATAAAATTAACAACTCTTTTTACATAAACTTAAATATTAAAACAAAGTTATAATTATTAAATATTTTCTGACAATACAAAAAACATTAAATTGAACCATTATACAAGTAAATATGATATTAATTACGTACATATAATTTTAATGAAATAATTGTACAAACTATAAATTTGATCAGCTTCCATTGTAGTCCAAAAATTAAACAATTGACTTTGCTAAGACTATTCATATATTCCAGATTATATTCTAATTTGACATTTTGATCAAGTTTATATCATAATCTTTTTAACAAAATAAAATATTAGACTGAACCTACTCAATTCTAATCAAATAGCATAACTTGGAACATCATAGTTCAGCCTAAACAATCTATGAATAAATATATTCTGAATCACACCAATTTTGAACAGAAAGTCCATATCAGAGACATATAGGATGAAAAGCCTCTTAAATAATGAAAAATTATTTAATAAAAGAAAAATGTTTTGGCTTTAAAAAGCTATCATCAGAATTAGGAAAATTGAACATAAATTTATAATTTTAATATATCATACAAAATAAATACAAAAGTTGAAATTATTTTTTAGAATTAAATAACATAAAATTTTAAATGTACAGTAATGAATATAGTACTAAACTATGTTAATCTATCTTAGGTTTCTTCTCTGTTGTTGTTAATGTTCAACTTTCCAAGACATGGACATATCTATATAGGACAGGGGAGACATAATATTTTTGTACCAGAAAATTGTCCCTCTCCCAATGAGTACTGTACACAACATAAACATCTTATTTTGTATAGTCACTCAAATTCAACAATAAGAAATTTTTCTTACTCATTGCCATTGCTTGTCCCCAATATTTAAACAGATCAATCCCAATGTTCCAAAGATACTGTATATATTTACAATATATGTTTGGAAAGTTAAATGAACATTTGTCTATTTTTAACTATTTCAAACACAACTGTCACACATGAGCATCACGTGTGACAGTTGTGTTAGTTAATGTTATCATATAGTATAATATCAACATAATCTCAGAGTATGCCTTTATTTATTTCTATATGTACTAAGAATTTACTCTCTTCTTTAGAAGTACAAATTTAATTTTCTGTAAATATTTTTGGAATGTAAAATTATTCAAAAACATTTGTAGCAAATTAAATTTGATTTCTAAACAAAGTTACTTCATTAAACTTTTTTAAAACTTTCTATTATGTGTAATGTAGAGATTTCTATAAAATAATTATACCTACAATTATGTAAATTTTTTTAAAAATAAAATTGAAGATTATATATGTTATTTACTAATAATTAAATAATTTATCTATAATTATTATTTAGATTAAATTATTATTAAATTAGTTAATCTAAACTAATAAGATTTGAAATTATTATTTAATTTTTAATTATATTTCAGTATCATTGCAAAAGATATTTAAATCATTTTAAAACTTTTAAAATGAAATTCTTCATCATTAGTTAAGTTAAATGATAAATGGTTTAATTTCAAGATAAACAATTACTTAGTTGTTTTAAACTTGGCAAAGAGCAAGAATGAGAAAAAAACAATCATTGAAGTAATTGAATGAATATGTTTACTCAGTATGTTTGTTACGTTAGATAGAAAAAAAAAGAAAGAATTTACAGGTTGTCTATCAAAATTTTATACATATTTTTTAAGTTTTTATGATTATTTTAGTTTTAATAATGAATTATACAATAAATGATAATGAAAAACAGATAGCTAAAATTTCTAGAATGTTTATTAACTAAAATCTGATGAATTCATTTATTAAAAGTTCTATGTGACTAAAGAATTTTGTAATGAATAGAAAATTATTGTTTTAAATTAGGAAATCAAAGTTAATATTTATTTTTCTAAATATTGTAATTATGTAAAAATATCTTTAAACTTATATGAACTAAAATAAAAAAATAAAGTTAACAAACAAGAAATGCTTTTAGAGAGGGAAAATAACAAAAATACAACTGGAGATTGTCAATAATCTAACCTAACCTAACCTACCTAACCTAGTGCTACCAGACAACAGAAGAGTTGAACAATGCATTGATTGAGCATTTTCTCATTTCACACTAGGTTACCTGTACAAAACATTTTGGTGAACTTGCCACCTTAACAGAGCAATCCCAATGGAGCTCATACTGATATTCTGAACAAGTAAAGTGTAAGGTACATTCTGATATATGTTTCAGTATTTTCTTTTAGAAAAGCAAAACACAGAGTGATGCAACCCTGTATAAGACAACCTGTATAAGAAAAATACAAGAAGAATAAATTTTTTGCTGGGTATTCAGAATTTGATCTTATATTTAATTTTTGCATTCAGTTAGATACATTTTTTGACTTAAACTTTACTATATAGATATATACACAATAATATTGTTGATATATATAATGTAATATTGTTTTATAGTTATATAAATTAAACAATTTTAATCAATTTCTATTTTAATCAATTTCTATTTCAGTATGTACTGTTTTACCTTTGAGTGAAGTAATTGCAATCACTCCCTGTGACTGTAATGGTGATCAGACTTCTCGAACTATACAGTGCCATCATTGCCGGCATTCTCGAGATCAAGTCAGTCCTGCTATATCAGAATTAGTTCCTTTACAAGCTCAAGCTGTACGTTTGTATTATGCTATTAGAGTTGGAAAATATAGATGGTCTTTGACAAGTATTTTATTGCGCCCAGTTGAATTGAATGTTTTAAGAGAATTCATAAGCAATTTACAAGCTACTTTAAATGGTAAATATTAATAACTTAAAATAAATTTTAGATGTTCACAATTAACTTGATGAATATTTTACACATATTTCAGCATCAAATTTTCAATAGAATCTATCAATAATATAGTTTAGTCTAGTTAAATATCTATAGTTAAGAGTCACAAAATTCAAAGTTCTGATAAGTATATAAGTTGGATATTTTCTACAATGGTTTGTTATAATTAAACCACTAATGTTGAAGTATATTATTGTCATCTCATATTTCTCTGTGCTGTTTTTTGATATTGAGATCTTAAAATTAACTGAAGAAAGGCCTGACTGATTCTTTTTCAGATTAAGCCATAAAAAGTCATTAGATACTAGATATGAGTGTTAATATCAGCAATCTGTTTTATATATATTAAGATAAATTGGAAGATAATTACAGTAACTACACACTCAAACCACCGTCAAATTAAAAAAAAAATCTTTAACAAAACTAACATTTCTGGCCATTTTAAATGGTTATCTTTCAGGTTTACAAAACATTCAAATTTTCAAACATTAGAACTTTAGAACATTAGAGAACACAATTTGAATTTTAAGGAATAAATTTTGATTGGGTAACATATATGTTACATTATACATGTGCCATTGCAATGTATGTATGATATTATTCCTCATACTGGTTTTAATACTTTCACCATGCAAAATATTATAAAAATTTCCCTTGAGGAAAATTTTTATAGTATTTTGCATTGTGAAAGCTGCCAGCCACCATACATATATCAACACCTTTCAAGGATAAAGACCAAGCTTTGGTCACACAGCTGGAGTAGCCTTTGGATCTAACCACTGTCTTTTACAAATGACATTAGCATATAATACCTACTTTTCATCCCTAGTTACTATTCTGTCGAGAAATGGGGTTTGCCTATTAAGAGTGTCTATTAAGAAGTGAAACATATATAAATAATTGATCCAGACAATTCTGTTCAGCAAGGTCATGAGGAACCATATTCCACACTTGTTTATCTTTCCTACTTGTTATGCCTGTCTAACTGCTGTTCATTGGAACCTTCCATTTTTCTCAATTTCTCATCTGTGAAACTTGCAGATGAGAAATGTGATTCACATGGCTACAAATTAATTAACCTTTGAAACAATAGTTATTAAAATATATTCATTTTATTTGTATAGCGAGAGTAGTCTTTCTAAAGGAATTCTGCGAAAATGTAGATGTCTAGTATCATCAAATTTTGAGATATAGCAAAATGCACAGACTGGCATTATTATTCACAATAGAATATACATTACAAATGTAGATGCTATTAAAATTATATTTTTTATTTCAAGTGTTTTCTAATAATTCAAACATTTTTTACCAATGAGTCCTCAGAAATATGACTTAAATTTGTTCGTGACCTGGTTTCCATATTTAATGATATAATTAAAAGAATTGAAGCAGATAAGGCTATCCTTTTTGAAGTATTACAATAAGAAAAACAGCAAAGAAATTACAAGCAAAACTAGACACTAATTTTATTTTACTTGTAATTAGAGTGATTCGACAGAACTAGTAAATCATGATGAAATCAATAAACAATGGTTCCTAGACCACACAAGAAATTTTTATAAAAATTATTTGCAGAATTTAGAATGTTATGGCAGTAAGTACCAGTATGTACCAAATTTTGCTTGAATCACATTAAAATCCAAAATTTTATGAGATCATGTTTAAAAGACTATATTTTGTACATGAAAAATATCCTCAGTTGGTAAACAAAAACGATTTGTTCGATGAAGGGTGTTGTATCAATGAAGATAATGAAGAACAATTGGCAAGAATCTAACATGTATATAGATGAAAGATGGAAACAAATATTTTAACATTTTAAAACAAACTGTGTGCCATATGATAATATATTCAAATTAGTTTATTAGTTCAATTTATATACACTCACTACCAAAAGTTAAGCATGGAGTGATAAACTGCGAAAAAATCGACAAATACAGCTGTGATTGACACGAAATATAGCAGGACAGTAGCAAATATGTTTATACATGAAACAACACAAAGAATTACATAGAAAAATGAAAACAATATTGAATTTTCATAAAGTATAAGATGAAATCATATTGGAATCATTAACAAAATGATGTTTAAATCCAAAATAAACAAACAAAACTGACATTAATAGGGTAAATGGTCACCCCTTATCCTTACACAAAGTTTACAGCATGAACCATGCTTTCCATGAGGTGATCAATTCACTCCAGAGTCAAATAAGTGCCATTCCTCCTGTAGAGCAGTTTGCAACTCTGTGAGAGTGGCAGGGGTGGGAAACATGCACACACAGCACAGCCGAGGGCATCTCAAAGATTCTCAATGGAATTGAGGTCTGGTGAATATGCCGGCCAATCCATACGTGCGATTCCCTCACTCTTGAGGTAGTCGTCGACGAGGGCAATGCTATGGGGTCGTGCGTTATCATCCATTAAAACAAAAGCAGGACTAACTACTGCAGCATACAATTTCACAATGGGTTCGAGGATTTCATCCCGATACCGGACAGTTGTCATAGAACATCCTTGATAGATGTGCAGGTCAGTGCAATATCCTAACAAAATGCCTGCCCACACCATAATGCTTCCACCTCAGAATGCATGATGCTCGATGATGTTCTGGGGTTGATTGCATGTGCCTTTTTCTCTCCATACTCTTACACGTTTGTCATCTGGCTCCAGGGAAAATTGCGACTCATCCATAAACATAACGTTGCCCCAATCAGACACAGTCCAATTCACATGTTGCTGACACCATTTTAATTGTGTGCCTCTGGATTGGATGTATAGTGGAACACAAACTCATGGTACCCGGGCATACAGTCAGTTTATGTGTATCCTTCGGTGCACAGTAGTAGCAGATATCATTTTACCAGTGGCTGCTGCAACCATCGATGTCACACGTGTAGAGGTTGCTCTTCGATTCTGCTTGGCTACAACAGCAATATAGCGATCTTCTGCAGGGTCATAACTCTTGGGCTACCGGCCACAGGTCTTCGGACAACTGTTTGGCTTGTTTGGAATTGTTTCCATAACTGTGAAATGACTGAATGATGAACACTGAAGAAAAGAGCAACATCTGTGATTGATTGTCCTGCTTCAAGGCGTCCCACACACCGCCAGCACTCACTGTCTGTCATTCGTCTTCTGGAAGTCATAGAAACATGTCAGTCATGCACACTAATTGTACGACAGTTCTCCACAATTTTTTTCACCACTTACATGCAACTCCTCTCACCCTTCAGAAGACTGGCTTCTTATATGACTGCCTGTTTTGCATATTTAGCAACACGTAACCATAATTGATAGTAACATAACATATTTGCATACTTCCTCCTACCTCTGCAGTGAATTGCAGCCTCTCAAATGCAGATTTCTTTCTGGACATGAACATTTTCTGCTCTGTGCTTAACTTTAGGCAGTGAGTGTATTATACCATACTTAATTATATTGCTATTTCATCATATTAAATAAATTCAGAACAAGTAATTTGTTATAAATACAATTATATAGATTCGTCATAAACAGTCTGCAGCCTCTGGTGTTTTTACAGTGTAATTTTATTATCCTGTTACCTTGTGCCTTTATGCTACCCATAATTAAGATGATGTTGAGACCAAATGATTGCTGGAATTAAATCAGACTACTTTACCACTACTATTATCCCATTATGGCACTCAGTTAGCTATTGCTTTACCCCAGCATAGTGTGTGTATATATATATACACATACACCATGCTGGGGTAAAGCAATAGCCAACTGAGTGCCACAGTGCAAAAAACATTATTTTGAAATGTTTTATGCATTTAATATACCATAGGTTAAACAGAAAACAGACAATAAAGACTTGTTTTCATGAAGCTTTTGATTATTACTGAAACTAGCAAGAGGCACTATTACATAGCAGCTTGAAATTTTGTTGGCTAAAAATGTACGAAGGTCAAAATTTGGCATATTTATCAAAATATTCTGTAAGAGAATGAGTTGTCCAAAAGTCCAGGACTGCCTGTAATATATATCAAGGCCACTGTTACTGTTTGTACAATGTATAAACAGTAACGGCGACCTTGACATCTGAACTATGTTTAACATTGATAAAGTTAAAATACAAATACAAACTATAAACTTAGAAGTATATAATTTGTATTTGTATATTAATTTTTAAAAGATAACCTAATATTTTACATAACTGCATAAGTACATACTTAATGTGTTAAAAAAAATAATTTTAAACTGAATTTGTATACAATTTTAATTTGCTCATTTAGTTCTGCATTCCATGTATTTTATCTGAATATATTTGTTACAGAAGAAAATGTTAATAGAAGTACTATTTGAGTCCATTTGACCTTGTTTCAGGTGTTGATCTTCATTTATATTATCATAAATAATGTTTCAATGCAAATAAACATTGCAAATACAGTAGAGCATAGATTATCCGAAAGAATTCCAATCAGAAAATTTAAATTTTTGCCAGTGCTGTGGCGCTGCAATCTTTGCCTATGTCTTGGGCTACTCAAATATTTTACGTTTTTGATACTAAATTAACTTCTGAAGTATAATTTTTTATTGTTTTTATATTTTTCAATATATTTATTNACAGCTATGAAAATTCAAACATTCAAAATCGTTCCATAACAAACTTTGTTTTATAAAAAATTGAAGTTATTCAATTTTTATTCCTGAGGAAGGCCAATTACTTCATCTTGCAGGAATTGTAGCACATGTTATTGGTAAGTAAAATGTAAATTCAAAATTATTTTATATATTGAAATTTTACAAAAACATTTAATAATAAATCTATAATTATTACATGCATTTATACAATATCTATATAACTTTATAAATGAGACAAAAATTCTTATTTTCTTTTAATTTATAAACTTCTGATTATATTTTATTACATATATGAAATACAAAGCACAATAGTTTATACTCCAAATTATTAGTATATCATAATCAGATTATGCTGTTTTTTTTAATACTAGATGTTCAAACAATTCATTTTTTTAGCTCATCTTCAGGAGGGTATATTTTAGAGTACACCATTCAAAATTCTAGAATATCAAATTCAAATATCTTCGGCATTCAATAGAAGATAATCTGTTCTTCACTGTTACATTGTTTAAATTGTAAAATCTGTTGTTTAAGTTTTAAGTTGTTAAATTTTAATTTTGTTTAGCATTAAATTTAAAAAATAAAATTAGTTTTATATATCTTAATTATTAAGTTTCATGTTAATTTTTTTATAATATATATGATTCACCAGAAATTAACCTCTCAACGTACGAACTATTAAAAAGAATGGCTTCAAATGAAAAAATTGTTTATTATTATTTAAAAGAAAGCATCTATTTTATCTGGAAAAAAGTTTCATTCGAATTTTTTCAATTTGTTAAAATTGGTTCCTAAATGGCATCTTCTCCTTTGGATAGCCAACTTTACAGGGGCCCCCTGCGATTCGGCTTCTCTGTACTATTATTAGTTTTGCCGAGAAGCTGCCATTCGTCGGTTAGCAATAAAATAATTAAAGCATCAACAAAATGTAAAAAACCTTTAGTATATAGTGAAGATTCCTGTCTGTCCTCCATCTCCTCAGCATTGCAAGAAAGTTGCTTGAGGAGATGCACAGCCTGAGATGTTCCAAGTTTACAATAGGTTCATAGGAATACATCTCCCTATTGAACTCGTTCAGTATATATAGTTTAATTAATTAAAAAAATACAGTTTATTATGACACCATACTGTATCGATTGACACACTAACAATCAAGGATAGGTTGGTGATCAGATGTCAGATGTCTACATGGTAATTTCTAAGCCATGGATAGACTCTGTCAGCACTTTTCATCTGATCTCAGATCTCATCCATCATTTTGTATTTCTCATATGAGCAAATGAAACACAGAATAAAATCAGAATTAAATGAATTTGATTCCATCTATTTCAAGTGTTTGTTTAAGAACTTTAAACATGAAAGTAGCTTTTTTTATTTGCTTATTTAATTAGAGAAAGCCCACTTTCTCTACTTAAATAAGCAGTTTGTAAAGTTGTATGCTTGAGTCTACAAAAATAATATGCTTGATTTGTTTTTACATTTAAAATTTACTTCCAGTTTTGTTTCCTATTGATAGTAAGGATTTGTAATTTATCAGCAACTTACTTTTGTTAGTATATATAATTAAATGAAATTTTAACTGAATGTTTGAAGAATGAGTTTATCCTGAAATTTGTTTTTTTGCTCTGCTACATTCTGTAATCAAATTGACATCTGATGATAATTTTTTAATAAAATCAGATCTTTGAACTTTACAGACCTAGGTTATCAAAAATGAACATGTTAAAAGTTAAAATAAGAGAAAATTGAAAAAAGTAGAATTTTCCATTGATGTCTCTGAAGATAATTGTCACTTAATTAGATAGAAAAAATCAGTTTGCATTGTAATTTTTTAAAAGTACAAATTCAGTTTTATTTTTATATTTTTAATGAGATACTGTACATGAAATGTATGTATTACATTTTATATTAATTAGTATGTGATATTTATCAACAGAATATAATAGTAAAATATTTCTTTATTGTTAAAATGAAATCATTCATTTTATAAAATGATCATATACTGTAATGTGTTTTGCATACATATATTTTTATAAATGAAATTTTAATCAACATAATAAATTATTTAATATATTATTTATCAAAATGTTAGCAAAATTTTTATCTATATTTTTTTTTTGTTTTTTGCTTTTGTTTTTAGTGACACAAAGAGCTAATCATGCCAAAGATATGTTGCAAGAACTTGACCTTAAGCAATTTGATGGGTAAGTTGTTTCATAGTGAAGTTTAAAAATTAAATTAACTATTTGAAGAAAAAATAATAATGATAGAAAATCAAATTTATTAATTTTAATCATCTATTTGGTTCCAGTTTTCAAGTTTTTTTTCTTTATCATTTCATGTAATTTTGGGTTATTTCTGATATTACTTCTATTCATATTTTTTTACTATTTAATTTCATTTAATTTATAATCTTAAGTTTTCTGTAATATAATCATTTCTAAATTTGTTTTTCAATTTTGGTTTTTTGCAAATACTGAGGGGAATTACTATCAGATAAAGATATCAATTTAGACTATGAATATTTTATCACATTCAGTCTATGCCCCAAAAATTTCATTATTCAACAGTCTGTATCATATAACATTACTGATCTTAGAATTATTTTTTAGGACCAGTTGAACAAGTTACCGTTTAACATTAGAACCGCCAGTATCGTATGTTAAAATATAATAATGATATAACTTAAAAAATATATGAAAATTTGAATTGAAAACTATATTAGATATAGTACACTCTTTTCAAACTGCAGTTAAATAATAATCAAACACTGACAGGAAAACTTTACAATGCAGCTTGACAGCTATGAAAATTCAAACATTCAAAATCGTTCCATAACAAACTTTGTTTTATAAAAAATTGAAGTTATTCAATTTTTATTCCTGAGGAAGGCCATTAAAATGCCGTAAACATTCAATTAGTTAATAATAAGCTGCATTTTAAAGGCTCTTTTTTCTATGTTTGATTATTAGATATAGTACACTTATTATAATATGTTTTTTATATTTTATAATAATGAAGCACTTTTTTCATACATAAATATTTTGTATTGATCATCTATATCAGGCTTGGCCAACAAGTTGTTGATTTTTAGTTGGTCATAGGTAATATGGCCTCTGAAGATATCAAAAACATTTGTAATTACTATGGAAATATAAATTTAATTTTTTTCACCACAAAATCTTTTAACTATTGCTATGGGTTACTAGTACTGTGCTTTATGAGATAACATGTCTCTTTCTGATTGTGATAGTGTAAAGATCATGGGCATACTGAATGAGAAATACAAGAACAACATGCTCATTGGTGAAATTTAGGTTATATTGTTACTTTAGAAATTGCTTTATGCCCTAAACAATTTCAGTTATATGCAAAATGAGTGTCAAAAGAGAAACTTGTGATTCATGTGTTGAATGGAAATAAAATTTGTTTTTATGCTGAATGTAAAATGTGCTGTTTAATTTGTTTAACATCTTTATCTAAAAGAGGCACATGGAACATCAATTACTGTGCAATAAATAATTGTTTTATAGCATAATTTTATAAGAATAGATTAATAAACTTTTATAGAAATTAAAATTTGATAGTAGATCATTGGTACCTTTTTACTCATTAAAGTTGATCACATCGCACTATAAGTTGCCAAGCCTGATTGATTGAATATATCAGAATAATAATTTTTGCATTCAGTTTCTTGGCACATTTCTGTTCTGACATTACTGATATTACCAATACATATAGAGACTGTGCTGAATCTGCTTTTATTGAGTATTTTCTTACTGTTTGATTTACAACATCAGCTTCATGTATGAGATTGTTATAAAGTTATATCACTTTAGGTGACTTTTCCATTTATATATAGATGTAAATTTTCCAATAGTACATTTCCTGAAAGCTGTTACAGTATATCTTAGCAGATAAGACAATAGTTGAATCATAAAAAAAAGGCTTCCAAAATCCAGGGTCATCTTATCTGCCAAGGACAGATTAGGACAGATACAAAAAAATTAGACTGAAATTTATATAAATTAAAACCATTATAAAAAGACAGACAAACGGTAATTATTTACTAGAAGAGAGTAGGGTATGTGCACAAAATAGAATAGCCCATATGATGTTTTTGTGAATAGTCAGGATCATTTCCCAAATGCCGAATCAGTATCAATGTTTTCAACAATCACAAGGCAGTGCTGCCAGATGCAAGAAAATAAAATTTGTTCATTTGAAAAATTACAAATAGGACATAATCCCGTATACGCTATACAGTATTATTATTCAGATGATGATTGCTGATCTAAACTAATATAAATCTAAATTCATAGGCTGTTGTTTGGGGGTCATCTCATAAGACAGATATATGTCTTATAAGAAAACTTCGATGAAAATTTATACCTCGTCTTACCTGAAGGTCATCTTATCTTCCAAAATATATGGGAGTTATTTGATCACATTTCATCTTCAAAGCAAACAGAATTTATATCAATAGCAAACCAAAATTTAATTTCCAAACTTGTAAGGTTTATTTACCATATACTGAATAAGTTTGCATTTTGCTTTAATACAAAAAACATTTCCTCCTCAACAGGAATACATTTTTCTGCTTATATAACATAGTAAATAAATTTTTTTGCACCAGAGAAAACAAAATAAATTTGCCATTTTAAATTTCTACTTAAATTAATATTAAATTTAATATATTTCATAATCTTCCAAATTCTATTGAGACATCAATCTGTTTTCTTTCAAAGAATAAACCACAAATAATTTACTTTTTAACTTTCTAATATATTAACTATCTATGACTTTATTTTTATAAATATTTTTCTTGAAAATTTTTAGATATAATTTTACCATATTAAGAACTTTCATTGATAAAAGTATTAGAAAAATCAAAACATCAAAAATAAATTGTTAGAAAAAATATTTGTGACAAAATTATTTTAATGCAAACTCTTATATGATATATTCGTATCAAATCTGTTTTCTTTGTCTATTTCTATAATAATAATAATAATAATATCTTCTTCAACAGCAAGCCAAATTAATTAATACATACAGAAACAGAAATTGAATACAAATTAAAGTAGAGCAAATACATTTTTGCTCACTAAAAATTTTATATTGAAGTATTATCAGTAGAAGTTCTATGATAATGTTTAATCTACTTAAAGATCCTATTTCAATTCAAAAAATGGCATATAACTCACACTTTGCTGAGATGTGTAGGAATTGAAGATGTTTAATTGTAAATTTGTAAGATTTAATGTATATATTTGAGATTATTTATTAAAGTTTATCAGTTTTTACATACTTTACTTGTTTGATATTAGGCTTTTGTCAATTACATTAACTGTAGTACATGTATGACATATTATTTAGCTTAAATCAATTAGGAATAAAATAGATATTTATTTTACTTATATAGTAATGCTTTGTTTTCAACTTTTCCATTCAATACTTGTTGAATTGTTTTTTATTTTTAACAGATATAAACTGATAAAAAATAGTAACATATAACTTTCTGTTCATGTTTCACATGAACAGAAAGTTATATGTTCTCCTTAGGCAGAATATTTTGTGGGAAAATTTGATGGTAATGCTGAAATAACTGTAATTTTCAAGTTTTTGTAAACCTTAAAAAGGTTTGGCTTTATAATCTTTAATATAAATATTAAATGAAGGTAACAGTGTATATATCCCTCAAAAGATGAAAGAAAAAAGTTCAACACACAACACTTGATAATACGAATAAGGTTTTTTGTTTTTTAGTAGGGATCCTATTTACATAGTCTTTTAAATTTAAAAAATTTAATATGTAAAAATTTTCAAATTATTTTAAATTATATACTGCTCAGTTAAAAAAGTTCATTGCAGTTTTGTGAATTATACAACTATGATTTTTTCATATTTGTATAATTCACATCATGCAGCTTTTTCTGGGACATGCAGATGTAAAACTTTCAGATCAATAAAATTAATTTGTGTGATTCAACAATATTTTTTAAAAATCATCTAATAAATAAAAGAGAAATTTTGTAAGTTTGTGGCACTGTTCCATCTGTTACAAGTAGAAACATTTGTATTTGTATTGGCAGTGTTATCAAATTTTGTTCTTTTTTCCCCTCAATGTTTTCAGGAAATTTATCTTTTTATATATGCATTTTCCTACAAATCCATTCCATTGTATGTTATAGAGAGATTTGCAAAAGCCCATAAATTTCTTTGAAATGATCATAAATGCTCATTTTAGCAAATGAATCATATTAGTTTATTGCTTCCAATATAAAACATAATGCCATATGAATATTTTGAAAGTATTTACTTAAAAAAATGTTATTTATATTATTTCCCATCTACTTTCAAAGCTTCTTTAAAATATAATGTGTATCTGTTGGAATATATTATTTTAAATTATTTTATTGCCAGTTCTACTAAAAATTACTTTCTTTGTTGTTTGAGAGAGATTTTTTAACTTTCACAAATATTTCTGTAAAATATGATGAAAAATCTATACAAAGATAGATAAATAAAATAATACTTATTTTATTGAGAATTGAAAGAAAACTGACAACATTTCTAATGCATCAATGGAAACAGTTATTCAGTGAAGGCTTATATAGTCATTGTCTACCATGTGTACCAACATTTAACAAAATCACTTGTAGTTTTCAATCCTATTCAATATTTTCTTAAGATAACCCAAGTATTGTTGGGTATATTAGCTAATTATAACAAATAACCAGTAGAAATTACACATATTTTATACATTAATATATAAGATCAATCTGGTCCTCAGGTCTGAAAATATTGAAGATAAAATCAAATGGTTAATTCTATTACTAAAAATACAACTTAGAAACTTTTCTTGATATTTCATTTGTATTTCTATCTCTCTAAGAAAGAGTGAGATAAGCTTTTAAATGAAAACATGTCATTGTTTTTAATAGTTAGTTTGTTGTTAACAAACAATATAACTTTATGTAAATTTTTACACAAGTTATGCATAATATAAGTTCATATATAATAGCTTTATACTTGCATAATAAAAGAAAGTTGGTTAATATTGACTGACCGTTAATTCCCTAAAATAGGCAGCAGGATGGGGTCAAAACTCTGCATCAAAACTTTTCTCTACTGGTTGTTGTTTTTAAAATCTCTTCAGAGTTCCATTAAACTTGCTATTGGATATAAATGTGTGTGACTGACTATTAAATCCATAGATCACCCTTCCTACCCCTACTTTCCCAATTATCACCTAGTCTACAGAGGGTTCACTTTTGTTTACACAAATGCTGTTTTTGAGGAAAAATGATGTATTATAACTGTTAAGAGTTGTATAACATAAGTACTTGCATGTGTAGCAAAATTACCACAGAACTATTCCATCCTGTCATCCTATCTTCTCTAAAATAGACAATAAGTATTGACCAAGTGCAATCTCTTTTTGCCATTTATACATATAATTTTAAATTATAATTCACTTCTTTTTGTTATTTAAGGGAAAAAAAAAACTTACTATAATTCATATTGATTTTTCAAATATATATTTTTTTTTTTACAATCATCACTACTATAACCTAATTAATATAATAAAATTCTTTACAGAATCAAGGTAATTGAGAATTAGCTCTATATAATAAATTTATATTATTATGATACTAATAATGAAAAGAATTTAAGAAGATACAATGTTAATTAGTATTAATATTTCAAAAATTTGTTTTCTTTTACAAAACTTTAGAATAATCTGTGTTGGAGGTGATGGGATGTTTAGTGAGCTTTTGAATGGTCTTATACTGAGAATACAAAGAGAAGAGGATTTAGATATTAATGATCCATTTACATTCTTGAAACGTCCTACAATACCTCTTGGTGTGATACCAGCTGGTTCTACTGATGCAGTAGCTTATAGTTCTAATGGAACAAATGATCCAGTAACATCAACATTATTAATAATTATGGGTGAGTATTTTTATTTTTGCATTATGTGAAGAGTTTAGTAAGTTAAAGAGAAGAAAATAAAATCTCTTTTAAAGAAAAGATTTATATAATTGAAATAAATTTATATTCATAAGGTCAGATGTAACTTTTATGTAAAATTTAATGTAATAATTAGGAAAGGATTTTAAGGTGCAGCATCTTTCTAGAAATATAGCTATTTTCATAGTTCATAGCTATTTCACTTCATTTCATTTTGGGGCTTGAAATAAAGTGAAATGAACACACTATGTTGCATCTTTCTTCCACCTTTTCATAAGATTAGCACACTTTCCCCCATTTCTCTCTGTATTGACACTTCAGCATCTTTTTCCTTACTTTTCTGTGTTTTTTAAAGATTAGATAGAAAAATAAATAAAGAAAATAAATTATTTTCACTCTTCAGGAGCAGCTACATAAAATCCCATACCCTTATTTTGTAGAGCAGATTGAAAGCTATAAAAAAATAGTAAATTACCATCATTGTAGTCACAATAGTTTCCAAGATAATGTATTAAAATCCCATGAGAAAAAAAAACAAGCTTCGATAAAACAGTAGCACTTGATTCATCAGTTCTTTGAAGTCCATGCCCAGTATATAAAGAAAGCTCAGAAAAAAAGAGCATTTCATTCTGGTCTTGGACTCTGATGAATAGTTGCTCTATATAGTTGGTTGTGTTAGTGTTTTGTAACAGTCCAAACTAAAATCCATTGTTCACAATAAAAACATGCCAGTGATTAAGAAGAGAAAGTTGCATGCACTTTCAGAAGAATTCAAGATACAATTCATTGAACTGATGGTCTCATTCTTCAATGTGCTGCCTATGATGTAAATATTGCAATCAATGAGAAGCATCAAATAAACAATAAACCAGCACATCCAGTACAGCAAGCATGCGAAGAACATTAAACTTCATAAATCAAAACCTAAGCAAACTACCTTGATATGTACTGTACCTTCACTTCAGGATCTGAAAAGCAATAATCATTGAGTTAGTTTAGTGCAGATCTTACCATGGCATTAATCCAATCAGGAATTTCACTCCATGAGGTAAATAATCCTGCATTCAAATCATCTCTTGAGAATACCTGCAAAGGTGAGAGCACCCTCAGAAGAAATTTTTATGAAGTTTTCTTAAGAAGTGGTCAGCAAGCATGAAGTAGGATTCATGTTAGATGAAATTACCAATGAGCTGCAAAGATATATATTGGATGTGCTAGTATTTCCATTATCTGGTGAATGGGTGAAATTCAAGCTTTATAAAATGTACAAACTCTAGAAGACTGATGCCTGCACAGTAATGCAGTCATTCAATGATTTATGCATGAAGCTATGGCCAGGGAACATACAATATGAAAAAGTCAGGCTTGTGATGAGTGATCAAGTACACTATATGCTTTTGGCTTTCCAACAACTGAAGACCATGTACCTTAACTTCAGCCATATGATATGTATTGCACATGAACTACACTGTGTTTGTGAAGATATCAGGGTAAGGATACAGTACAATAAATGACTTCATTACTGCTTTGAAGAAGATTTTTATAAAAGCCTCTAATCATCAAGTCACTAGATTTCACTTACCATGATACCCTGTCATAACCAGGTATGGTATTTGGATGAGATGCACAGCTTTCTTGTGCAAAAACTTTGACAAAATTATATACTCCATATGTGCCCTAGATTCAATAGATGCAGCCATTAAGCAGACTCAACAATTGCTTAATGACAAAAACCTAGAGATAGAACTTTTCACAGTACATGACTACAAGTATTTGCCTGATGTAATTCAGAGTTTGGGAGAAAGTATGGAGAAGGAGGAACAGTGGAAGAAGTTGATGACTGTGAAGGACAACCTTGACAGATTTGCCAAAGCTAAATTTGAATTAAATTTGAACAATCTGGATGTGGAAACTTTTACAACTTTGACTGAACTCCCTTTCTGAATGCTTACAACATATTCTTATTTGATTTCTGTTGATAGAGTTTCTCTACATACAGAGCAGAGTTTCTGTACATATAACGATCTGTTGAGCTCAAAGTACCAATGACTTATTTTCAAAAACATAAAAATGTGCATAATTCAATGTAACAAGGTAGTTAAAATGTCATGTTTGTCTCCTAAATGTGTTTACTTTTGCAATATTTGCTGGTTTTGGATAAAGAATGTTCATGTAACTGGTTCAGACCTGAATAAATGCATTTCATCAACACTTTTGTTTTTTTGTACCTTTTTGTATACTTTTTCAGAACCTTTTTTTCCCTCTTTTCCAACCATAATTTTGCACCTTAAAATCTGTTCTCTGATAAAAAGTTTCATTATATTGCAAAATTGTTTTTCATAATACATTATATAGTCATTGTATTCTTAGTTTCAATTTTCTGCTCTCAAATGGTGCATAATTTAGTGATTACATGCTAAGTGTAAAAACTTCAAAGTGTGATAGGTTAATGTACATCTACTGACTTCAAAATATCTGAATGAGAACAATATAATTATAAGAATAACTCAAAATCAAGCACAAAGTAAACAACTTTACCAAAAACGTTTTAAAATTATCTTAAAATTACCATCGTCAAGGTTAAAATTGTCATTGGAAAGTGGAATGTATTACAGTATAGAAAACTTTTTAAAACTTTTAAAACATTTTTACAGATGTCTTTTCCTGATTGAATGGTGGTTACTGTGATGATGATGGTGTTATCGTACTAGTTTTGGACCTTATATAAAACTCCCCAGGCTTGTGCTAATGTATTGTCCTTAAAATTAATTGCTGATCTATTCTTGCATGACTTATAAATTTCAAGTTTTCTAGGTTTTTTTATGTCAGACAAATTCTTTGAATGATATATTAGACAAGCTTAGTCAAACTGAGCATGCACATGCACATTCACATTCACATCTAAAGCAAGCATGATCAACACTGTAATTTTATTTATTGAAGTTAAGTATTCCTGTAAGTGTTGGTATAAGGATGTGATAGCTTGGATATAATAACTTGGCCTGCTCTATTGTCTATTACTGGTACCAAATAAACTCCCAGAAGGTTACATTTGTCTAGAGAGTTTTTGTTGTTTTTGAGCAAGCTATAATTGGTTGGACTTCTACATGCTAAGGTTATTTTGTTAGCTTTGGGCAATTAATATCTTTGAAGTTGTATAACATGAGTGTGTTATATGTCATGGTTCTGACAGAATTTAGAGACTTTAGTATTTTTATTTTTAGTGCATTGTGTTTCATAATTAGTTCCTTGATGACTCTGTGATGGAATCCATATTATGTTGAAAAGTTAATAAAGCATCATAGTTCCTCATTCCTACTGATATTGTCTGAGAATGTTCATAAGCTCTTTGAAGGCAGCTTTTTAAACAAATACAGATTTTGTGAGAAGGTGAAATAAAAATAGGATGGTAAGTAGGTTTACAATGAACTGAGGTGGAGATATGTTGGTCTTCAAGAGTGATGTTGATATCCGGAAAATGAACTTTGGAGAATGTTCCTGTTTCAGATTCAGATAAAGCCCATAGAAGGCACTTAAGAAGAGATGCATGCTTGGTTTACTTCTCCAAATAATTAAGTTGTTGCCAATACATTTCAATACAAAGAGATGTTGTGTTTGAAGGCTGGGAAGATTTTGTTTTTGAGATGTTGGACAAAAAAATGATTTCACATAAAATACCTGAAAGGAGGCTTCTCATGGGAATGCCTTTGCTTTGCAAATAAATGGTACATTCAAATTGGAAAAAAGACAAATGGCAAGTTAAGTCCATGAATTCTAAGATGTTCTTATGATAATTACTTGCATCTCTTATATGTATAAATAGAAAATCTTGGAATATACAGAAACAAGGCTCAATCTTGATAGGATATAAAGAATTGAAGTCAAAAATTATAAAGTATGAATCTGGCCCCAATTGTGTGTTATGGAAGAGTTCTATAAACTCTTATGAGATTTTAATGGTGCAGTTGTAAGGTTCAATGTTGTTAATAAACCAATTAAGGATTCACTCAATTGGAACAGCAGTAGGAGAGGATGACTTGTCCACTACTGGGTGGAATTGTTTGCCTTCTTTGGCAAATGCAAAAATTTTAGGTGTTGAGGAGATGAGCTGGAAGCATTTGTCATATTCCATATTTGAGTTAAAGGAGTTTTGGTGAACCAGAGCATTGTTTCATCTTCTGGAGGCATTGAGGAGGTGTCTTAGTGCAACCTGTATCTCAAAGATGCTTTAAAAATTACAAGCAAAACTAGAAGAATTACAAAAAGCTTTGAAACAAACAGGTCTGTTTTGCCAAGCATAGAATCTCCAAAAACTGCTGTATATATCTTCTAATTCAATTTTTTTAAACTAGCAGTAAGTTATTTCGACAAACTTTAACTTCACAGATGCACAACAAGTACAAAAAGATGAGAACTGTCAAAAAAAGATAATTCTAAACAACAATTATAAAATGTTATCAACAACAAAATGCTTTGAAGAAAGTCAACATCATCTTTAGAAACTTGCAAATGGCTAATGAAAAATGAAGCAATACAATCTAATATGAAAGACAAAAAAGCAAGATGATAAAAGCTATGAGAACCACAAAAGAAAAGGTTGAGGCATAGTTTTTGAACATGATGACGACTTGAGAATTAATACCAAAAAAAGTAAAGAAGATATATTTCCTCTTGGATACCATAAGAAATGTTCACAATAAATTCTTACCTGAGAACAAACAATTATTTATTATGACATTGTCACAATGCCAGGCTGCAATTTTTAATCATATCTTTTAAATTTATTTAATTTAAAATATATGCTCTCTCAAATTAGTAATGGCTTGCCCCCATACATCATACTTTTTCTTTAAAAATAGAGTTGTACTGGTCATCTATGTAACATCTTTCAGAAGAAAATTTTTGAATTGAAATAACAACTTCTGATTTGCATCAGATGTTCATATATAGTTAATCGGGACCTCCTGCCCCAAAGCTTTCTA